TCCTGCACAGAAGGTGGGTGATGGACCCTGGAGGGCATTCCCGTCTTTGAAATTCCGCGCTGCACGTGTACTGTCCACTGTGCTTTTAAAAACATGAAATTCTGCGCTGAGTGTACTGTCCACCGTGCTTTTAAAAACTTCCCTTGGCATTCATGACTCCATAGCCCCCCCTGGTGTCACTCTGGAACTAGGCCCGGCCTCAGGGAGCTGGAGATGTAGAGAGACCCCTGGGACAGTGGGATGGAAGGTGGTATTGTCAAGTCACTGTGACGGAGAAGAGTCTTCCATTACCTCACCACGTGGTTCCCTGGGAAGACAGGGCAATGGAATGGAACGATTGCTGTGTACAATGATCCACTGGCTGTAAGCCACAGGGCAAGTCATTTAACTTCACTGTGACTCCACTTCACCTATGAAACAGTCACATGACTGCCGAGGGCCCTTGTGCACATGAAACGAGTTACTGTGTGCGAAAGTGCCTGGCACATGCCGGGCACACAGTAGGCCCTCAAGCCCAAGGAGAGTGTGCCCAAGTTGCAGATGATTCTTGGGAATTTGGGCCTGAGTCAGGTGCCTGGGCTCAGTGAGGTACTTCCCCACTCAGGTGAGGATCATTTCCATAAGCTCATCACCACAGCTGCAGAGGTGACTCAGAGCTGCCAATGAGGAGCCCTGCTGGGACAGGGGACACTTGAGTTTGGGGAATTGAATGGCATCAGAGTCTGAAGCAATGGCACCCTGCTGCCGGGGAGGCCTTCCAGTGAGGAGCCTGGGGATCTTGGTTGGGCCTCCCCTGTGGCATCTGCCTGGAAGACCTGAGTTTTCCCATCTAGAAAGGGACCCAATGACCTTCAAAGTCCTTTTCCAGTAGACACTGGGTGCTATTCGTACCTTATTTCCCACAGGGGGATTGAAGGCAAGCTTGGGGGAAAGGAGGCTTTCTGCTCTTGGAAAGCGTTCCAGTCCGAGGCCCCCAGGGGCAGCTCTCCCCTGTCCCAGTCCGAGGCCCCCAGGGGCAGCTCTCCCCTGTCCTAGGAGTCAGAATGGATGGATGGCAGTGAGTTCCTTTGGGTGAAGAATTCAGGTGATCTGTCTGGGGCAGAGTGGAGGGCAATCCTAACAGGGGCTCCTATGAGGATCTCTCGGGCACCCACCTCTGCGTGCCCAGGGCCCAGAGAGAGGCAGGGTCATCAGGCCAGTGTGATTTATTGATGCACATCGAAAGCACAGCACAGGCAGGTGCACCCCCAGCAGGGGGCAGACATGGGGCTGGGGAGGGCTCAGGTCACCCCCACAGTGATGTTGTAAGCAGAGGGGGGAAGGGCCCGGGGCCCACGTCCGCTCCTTCTCCATGCTTCTCCCAGAGCCCCCAAGCCTTCTGGCCCATCCCAAGGAGACAGCTGACAACTCCCCACTGGCTACAGCTGGTCTGTGGCCCTCCCTGAGCTCCTGCCCTTTTTGGCCTGCTGGCCCATCTGTCTTTCATCACAGGAGTCCAGCTTACCCCTTGTCTCTGTCCCCTCTGAGCCAGGCTCTCACATCTGCCTGACATCACCTCCACCATCCCCTAGCTGCCTCTGCCAACACCTCTCCCAGTCACTCAGGCTAGATTGTTAGCTTCCAGGTGTCTACCCTCACCCCCGTCCTGACCCATACAAAAGGTGGAAATTGTGAGGCTGCTGGGAGGCCCAGGAAGAAGTTACCAAGAGCTCCCTGGGAGGCCCTCTCAGCCAGAAGGCTCACCAGGTGGGCTAACAGTGCCAGTGGGCACAGCGGGAGGTGGTGTGGCAGGGAGTCCACATTCGGTTTACACACAGGCACGAAACAGTTACGGCACTGCGGCAGCGCACAAGCGGGCAGAGTGGCACAGCCAGGCGGGTGCCAGGGCTCTGCAGGGACGCCCTGAGCTCTCTAGTTCCATGCCAGGCCCCTGGAGGAGGCACCAGGCAACCCACTCCCGGTACCTCTGGGTCTCAGGGGTCTGCTTCCCCCTCCTCAACCCCAATGGCTGTCATTCCAGACCTCAGTGCTCTGAGCAAACGAGAGAAAATGCCGGGGGTGATCATCTCCAGAGAGAAGAAAGGAAACGCCCCAACAGCCCAGAGCCCCCAAAGTCGAGAAGAAAAAAAAGGCCCCTTTCTAGAGAGCAAGGGGAGTGGCTAGAGGGGGCGAGTGGGGAAGGCGAGGGGCAGCTCTCGCCATGCAGGAAGAAGGTTCGACTGGGCAGGGAGCAGCCAAAGGAGGAGGGGGTGAGGGTGAGGGGCATGGCAGGGGCAAGGAGACTATTTATAGAGGGCAGGGTCCAGGCCAGAGTGGGAGGCACCCGAGACCCTAGCTCGGAAGGGAGGGGCATTCTGTGGTTGGCCCTGAGTGGGGTGGGTGGGGCTAAGGAAGAGCTGCCCCACATCTCTCCGTGAAGCCCCTGGAGGCTCGCCCGAGCTACACCTGGGAGGGAGCCCAGAGAGGCCTCCTGGGAAAGTCCCGGGAGGCCGGCAGGTTTCTGAGATGGGAGGGCTGGGGTGGGGCAAGGAAGAGCAGGAGAGGGAGTTGAGAGACAAGGTGATGGACAGCTCCCAAAACCCAAGCCATCTACCCCTCTACGGAGGCTAGGAAGCCTTCCTAAGTCGATCAGCCACGGAATGGGCCATACTTTTCCAAGAGGACAGCTCTCTACCACCTCTTATTCCAAGGGGTGGGGGAAGGGAGTGGACTGACGGAGAGCAGGGGCCAGGGGGCAGGAGGAAAGGAAACCAACTGCCTGCACGGATGGCAGCCGACCACCTCCACGCTTCCTGTCCTCCCGCCCCAGCCTCCCGCAGCGCTCAGGAGCGCCTAGCGGCCCACACTGATGTTGCAGGTCTTGCAGCTGGGGTCTTTCTTGGCGTCGGCAGTGGACAGGCTCATGAGCTGGTGCCCGCTGATCTCGCCCAGGGTACCCAGGGACAGGTCGACGGGCTCCGTGTAGATGACCTCCAGGATGAGGTCCTGGGCATGGCGGAAGACCAGCTCCCCATCCTCCACGCTGCAGGTTAGGAACTTGTTGCAGGCAATGTCCAGGAGGGGCAGGCGGTCGCGGCAGAAGCGGTCCCCCAGGGAGCCCTTGGGGGCCAGCACCAGGATGGCATAATGGTAGGCCGTGTACATACAGTAGAAGTCCGCAAAATAGAGGTTAGTGCTGGGGTTGAAGAGGCGCTGCGCGGGGATCTGGAAGCGCCAGCGGCCGTAGGGGGAGTCCTGGGGAGGCTGGCCCGTGTTGAACTCCGTGTTGCAGCTGAAGAAGACGCCGTGCAGCATGCCGCTAGTGGGCGAGCCGTGGCTGCCGCTGTTGTCCTTCAGGTAGGGCTGCAGCATGTTCCCGCAGTGGGTCCTGCCCGCCGGGGGAGGGGCGGGGGGAGAGGGAAGCAAAGGGGACGAGAAACCGCCCCTGGTCAGCGGCACGGAGCAGAGGGGCTGCGGTGGGAGGCGGAGAAGGGATGGAGTCTCACTCCTGGCTCTCCCACCAGCCCCACCGCCTCCACCAATCACAAATATAGCTTTGCAGAAGGCTCTCTGCAGGGAGGGCCTCAGAGATCAGCTCCTGCAGCCCACTCCTTCACAGAGGAGAGAGCTAGGAGCCTGCCGCTCCGCTCCTCGCTGAAAACGCTTTGATGGGCTCTCACTGCCTGCATGAACAGCGATGCCCTCAGATCCTGTCTCTCTGACCTCTTGCCACACACACCTGCCTCCCCCTCTCTTTCGCATACACCCACAGGGCACTGCCCCTGGCTCTGACTCTGTGGCTGGCTGCAGCGCATGCTCCTCTGCCCGGATTGCCCACCCTGCCTTTCTCCGCCTGGCCTGGCAAAGTCCTGATCACCCTTCAAGGCCCAGCACAGGTGTCCCGTACTTCTAAAACCTTCCTAGATCATCTGACACGTGGAGCCAGCAACCACTATGTGCCAGGTACTGTGATTAGTACTCAACCGTCAGGCGTTAAAGTTTGCCATCTCCCAGTCTGGACACTGATATCCCAGTGCCAGTGAGGAGCCTGGCACACACTGGTGTTCTTTGTCTCTCGCCTTCTCTCTGTGAGTGAGTGCCCTGCCACTGAGCTCTTCTTTCATGCCAACGCCAAACCTCCTTCCCACCTCTCCCACTCTGGCACTCACTGCCCAGTCAACAAGCTCTGCCCCCTATGAATGTGGTGATCTAGAACGTGGGAGTGGTGGTCTCATCAGGCCCAGGTTGGAGTGGACTGTCCCTCCCTGACCCAGTCTCACTCCTGACTGGTCCTGGTTGCCGTTGAGATGAGCCAATCTGGGCCTCAGTCTCCCGTCTGTATGCTAGACTTGGACTGACAATCAGTTTTCAAATATTCTTAAACTCCAGAACTCCCCTCCCCCCAAAAATATACACAGGCAGGCACTAGGCAAATAAAATGGAAGATTCTCCATATGGATTATGTGGGTGGGGCCCCCAAAATCCCATCCTCTGATTTCATCTCTGACCCACTCACCATCACCTGAGAGACCTCCCTGAAGGTTCCAGGAGCTTCAGTACCAAGGGTAGGAAAGTCCTGAGTGGTATGTGTGTCTGTGCGCATGCACTATGTGTACTTCATGCCCAGGGGCCTTCCTTTGTGAGCTCCCCTCCCCCATTCCCTCTTTGGACTCTGAATTTGAGAGGTGGCAGACCTGGCTGAGGGCTATGGTGGGAAAACCCAGCAAAGAGCAAACCCAAGACCATGTTAAGGCCCGCACCTGTGAGCACGGTGCTTTGCAAGGCTGCTTTCACCCTGTTAGTTCCCTGCCTTCCTTAGAGCCCAGTCCTTAAGTAGCCATCATTCCAGAGCTTGTGTGGTGGCATGAAGGCATTGGGGGGTGGGGGGTGTCCAAAGGAATATCTGGCAAGCTACCAGGTGGGGGTGGCCTCCCAGGGAGCCAGGGCAGGAGCAGGAAGGTCCCGGGAAGGAATGGGAGGCGGTACCTGGCGTGCTGGAAGTACTCCTTGTGATGGTTGCGGTAGAAAACAGAGAAGCGAAGCATGCGGCCTGCGATCTGCTCGGCCTTCTCCTGCAGCTGAGCCAGGTGCTCTTTGGCATAGTCTGCAAGAGTGCAGGTGAGGGGCAGCCGCAGGTCAGCTGGAAGGTCGCACCCTCTTCCCCCACACTCGCCCACCCCGTAGAGTCCATCGCTGCGCTCCAGAGTGGCAGAGGAGACCAAATAGGCACAGAACCTTGGCCTCCGATGGAGACAGGCCAGCTGGCCTCTCCTGGGAACACTGTGAGCTGGATGCTGGATGTCTTTGTCACTCCTGTGCCTTCCCTGCCAGAGCTCAGACTCTTCTGGTCAGAAAAGGGCAGGGGACAGGGGGTGCCCAATCACACAGTCATGCCAAGGGCCGCAGCAGCTCTAAACCCAGGCCATTCTCGTGTGAAAAGAAGACCACCAGGCCAAAAGAAGGATTTGAGGGGCTCTGCCTCTGTGAGCAGGAGCTGCCCCCATCATCTACAGAAAAGCCAGTTGTAATTACAGGTGTGTGTGTGGGGGGTGGGGGTGGGGGGGAGGCTCATGAGGAGCCCAGGGAGAACAAGCCTGGGCACTAAAAGGGGAAGGTTTAGGCAGACCAGAGTTGGGGCGAAGACTGCTCTTGAGCATTCCAGGAGAAGCAGCAGAGCCTGGAAGCCAAAAGTAAGATGGAAGTTTTCGAGCAGGGCCAGAAGCTGAGCTCCCAGGGTCCAGGCATGGCTGCTGCCAGCCTCCGTAGTAGCTTTGTACAAAGTAGGAAAAGGTGTCCTTTCCTCCTTGCGGACGCATCCCTGACCAGTTTGGCAAGAAGCGTGTGGACTGGATCCCCTGTTCCCCAGTTAATGAAACCCCTGCTGTAAGCAGAGTTCTAGGGCTTAATTCACAAAGGGCAGGGATGCCTCCAGGGAGTGGGGTTTTGCAGCAGAGCAAAGAAGAAGCCCGATGCAGAAGACAATGCAGCTCAAGGAGACTCGGGGCACAGGCCTTGGCAGAGGGCAGAGAGCCAGCAGCCTCCGCTGCCCGGGGCTACCAGTGTTCCCTGCCCCTTCCTTGTGGCACAGGGAGATCTAGAGCAGTTCTCACCACGGACACCAAACGAAAGGGTTTTTGTGGAGCAGATCCTAGGTCATCTGTGGCACAGAAACTCAACGTTTGTTCATGCTGGAGTTTGCAAAATCTGCAGAGAGCTCTGATAGTGTAGTGAATTACACATGGGGCTGCTAACCCCAAGGTCAACAGTTCAGATCCACCAGCTGCTCTGTGCGAGAAAGATGAGGCGTTCTGTTCCATAAATAAAGACTTACGGCCTCAGAAACCCACAGAGTCCGTTGTACCCTGCCCTGTCGAGCCACTGTGAGTCAGAATCGACTCCAAGGGCCATTTTCCCCAGAGAGCAAGTGTTCGACTCCATCTCTGTATAGAAGCATTTTTGACAGCAGAATTAGCAGCATTCATGTGTGCCTCCTGCACTAGACTGCAGGCTTTTGAGGGCAAGAGGGTCTTACCCCTGTCTGGGTCCCCTGTGACCTAAGCCTAGGGCCTGGTGCACAGCCAGTGTTCATGAAGGTCCTTGGATTACAGGGACCCCTCTCGTGACCTGAAATCAGGTAGTTGGGCCTGGGCAATAGGAGAATTCCGTGAAGCTGGGCCTTACCCCCAGTGCAGAACTCGACCGTCTCGCTCCAGCCAGACACGAGGTACTCCCCATCGCTCTGCTTCACAGCTGTCTGCACAGCCACGCTGTACTCCGTGCGGGGGCTCAGGAACCAGTGGCCTCTCACTGTCATGGGCAGCGGCACAGCCTTGGCCACGAGCTTGGTGGGGACATCCTGGGAAATTGGGTATAGACAGAGAGCCAAGAGTCAAACCAGGGGCTCATGCCCATGGTTGGCATTCTCCCACACTTCTCATTCTCCAAATGGCTCCCGTTTCTCAATGGTTCTATGACCTGGCCATCATTTTCTTGTAGAAGCAAGCAGTGGCCATTAGGATAGTCCCTATAGGACGCAGATGTTTCTGAATCTGTGCCCTTTCTTAAATGCTCCTAACGCTCCACTCTCTTGGGCACTGAGGTTCAAAGAGCACTAGGGAAGGGGGGTGGCCCCCAAAGTTGAGGGCATCAAGACCTTCATGTCTGAGGGAGTCGCAGAGAGCTCTGCACACTGCAGTGCCGTCTCCACGGCAACGGCCAATACTGAGAAGCCAGGGAGGAAGGGAAAACATGCCTTATTCTTTGGGGGGTGGTGGTGAGCTTTCACGTCACCGTGGCAACTGGCCTGCCAAAAGACACCCAGATCGGGAGAGCCAGTTCCAGAGAGAGAGGGTGAGTAACCCACACTAATGCTGTCGTTGTGGAAACCAGCGTCTTCCCACCTCACTTGGCCCCCTTCCTCTCTGCTAGCTCGGGAACTTGGGAGGGTTCCTCCCACCGGCCCCCATACGGGCTTTAACCTAGGGGAAAGGCACATCTCATAAGGTGTAGCACTCTCTAACATTTCCTTTCTAAACCAAGAAGAGAGGGGCAGAACCAGAGGGCGAGGGGCAGAGAGACTCCCAGGAGGCCAGGCTGGGAAATCATTGAGTACTAAGATTAAGGGTACCACCCCCGCCCCACTGCTCAGGCCACCCTCCCAGCTAGCAACCAAGCTGCCCCCGACCCTGAGCTTCATCAGAACCAGAGAGGCCATCTCTGTGTGTGATGCAGAGCCCTGGGCCGCACCCTGGCACAGATCTCTGCCTGTGTCTGAAATCCCAGCAACACTGTGCGCACCACGCTCCCTGTGTGCGAGCGAGGCACCGTGCCAAACCCACACCCGCTCTCATCGAATCTTTGCAACAGGCCCATGAGAGCTTTTCACCAGTGAAAAACTCAGATGCAGAGAGGGTAGGTAACCTCCTCAGGGTTGCACAGTAAAAAACATTTGGATTTTAACCAGCCCTTCCGGGCTCCAAAAGGACCCCTGGTGGTGGAGTGGATCATGCAGGTCAGCAGTTCGAAACCACCAGCAGCTCTGGGAGACAAAAATGAGGCTTTCTATTCCGGTGAAGAGTTACAGTCTCAGGAACCCACAGGGGCAGTTCTACCCTGTCCTGTAGGGTCGCTCAATGGCAGTGAGTTGGTTTTTTATTTAGGCTCCAAAATATTCCCTCCAGATACCCTCTCTCCTGCCTCCTTCACAATTGGTGTCGGGAAGAGGCAGCTCTGGGTCCCCTCTCCACTCACCCGGTGCTTGAATTTGTTGGAGTTCTTATTCTCCTTCTTATTGAGGTCAATGAAGTAATGGGTGACCCTCTCTAGGTCACTGTTCTCCATGGCCCAGGAGATGCGGAAGGAGTCACAGGTGATGTTGTTGATCTCGATGCTGTGGGGGGTCGACAGCAGCTCCATGCTCCCCTCTGGCTGGGCTCCTGTAGGGACTGAGAGGGAGGGGAGGGATCAGCACCTCCCTCCCACCCTGGAGTGTTCCGATGTGTCCTGCTCCCAACACTGAACCCTTTGACTGCACCTATGACCTGATGGGAAAGATTGTGCGGGGAAGGTTGAGAAAGAGGAATGGGAAATGGGATGGGGTGTCCCTGTAGGGGCTCTTGGCTCTCCTCGAAGGGGTCTGCAGAGCAGACGGGCCCTGACAGGTGGCAGAGACAGTGGGAATGCTGCAGGCGCTGGGCAGGACAGATTTGCAGCAGATGGAGCCGAGGAGGGAGGGGGGCCCCCAGCCAACAGGCGTGAAAAGAGAAAGGGATGGGGCTGAAGCGGGGTGGGGTGGAGAGAATGGATCAGGCCAGTAGGAGAGACAGGAGACACTTGCTGAGGGACTGAGGTACAAGGCACAGGATGGAGGCAGGCAAGAGGCCAAGGATGTCAGGGCTCTGGGGAACGGGCCACTCTCTTCTCTAGGCCTTCAGACGCCACAGAAAGGAAGGTCCAGAGGGCCAGCGCAGAGGGCTGTGCGGGTCTGTGTGGAGCTGCTCCTGGGCCACATTGCCTGCTTCCTGCTCTTACTCCACTCAGAACGCTTATGGCCGAGGCTCACTCTCTTTCAGGTGAGCCACCCTTGCTTGACTTGTCAATCACTCGTTTTAGCATTAGTACTTTCACCAACCTGATCTGAGGAAACCTCACAGTAGCCATGTATTGTCCCCATTTCCCAGATGAAGTCATTGGTGTTGGGAGACACAGACATGGTCGAGGTAATACGTGATTGAAACTCAGGTTGTCTCATATTGGGGCCCAAGCTCTTTATCATTCAACCAAGTCTGCGTGGTGTGTGTGCGCGTGGGCAACCATAAGCACACATAGTGTTTCCACTATTTGTCCGTCTGTCCTCCTTCCCTCTCGAGCAGCGACATTTCTCTCCCCTCCCTCCCACTCTCCCTCCTTCAGTCCTCACACTACCTCTGGCGGCTGTTCAGGTATAAAAGGACCACACCACATTCACCAGTGCTATAGGCAGAAGAGCTGACTCTGGCCTTGATGTTGGCCTGGCTCCCCTGAGCTCTGGGCCATGGGGTAGACGCTGCTCTGGGACAAGACCAGGAAGGCAGATGGCACTTTCTCCCAAGACATCTGCTTAGAACTCAGTGGGCTCCATGCCTTCCCCAGTTCCTTCCTCAAGCCCAGCTCCCAGCACCTCTCCTCCTCTCCTCTCCTCTCCTCTCCTCTCC